CCCAGGCAGATGAGGGAAAATCTGCAAACGGATATCGGAGTGACGCCATCGCTGCAGTTGCCGGCACAAGTGAGTGCAAATTTGCCGCCGCAATGGAGTGCGAATTTTGCGCCGACGCTTGGCGGCCATTGGGCAAACGGACAACCTGTGTCAACAACAACACTACTGCGCTATTCTCCGCCATCTTGTGTGACCGCCGCAGCACAGCTGGTGCTAGGTTATGTTCACCCAGAGGTACCTGCGCCATCGCCCATATCATATGGAGCGCCGACGACAAGCATACAAGGATGGACGCCACGCAGACTACCTGATCTTCCCGATTTCGAGGGTCAGCCAGAGGAATGGCCAATATTCCTGTGTGCGTTCACGGAGACAACTGCAGCCTACCAGTGCACCGAGTTGAAGAACAATCAGAGGCTAGTGAAAGCCCTGAAGGGAGAGGCTCGCGAAACAGTGAAGTCGTTGCTCATCCATCCCAGCAACGTACAAGCTGTTATGGAGCAGCTACGATTCCGGTATGGACGCCCGGAGCAACTGATCCGCAGCCAATTGGAGATCGTGCGCGAAGTGCAGCCGATTCAGGAGGCCAACATCGCGAGGATCGTGCCGTTCGCGACGAAGGTTAGCAACCTGTCAGCGTTCCTGCAGTCGACCGCGACCGGCAGCCAGCACCTTGCCAACCCAACCCTAATGGAAGAGCTGATAGCCAAGTTGTCGCTAAGCAAGAGGTTGGACTGGGCAAGGCACGCGGCCACGATACAGCCGTATCCGACGGTGGCGCACCTGAGCGAGTGGCTCCATGAATTCGCCAAACTGGTGTGCACTGTCACGGACGCCGGAGCCAGGGAACAACCGTAGCGAAGGATTCTGCACGCGAATAGTGTTCGCGAGGAGGAGCGATATGTCGACCGCCCCAAATGCTGCCCTATATGCGAGAGACAGCACCAGGTCAGGGACTGCAAGGACTTCATCAGCGCCTCTACAACGACACGGATCGAGTCCGCGAGGAAGCGACGGCTGTGCTTCTCGTGCCTGGAGCCCGGACACATGTCCCGGTTCTGCAGGAAGAACCGCGGATGCAACGTCCTCGGATGCCAGATGAGGCATCACCACCTGCTCCACGAAGTACCTGAACGATCCAAACGGCCGCCAGTCGCAGATGGGGGCCACAGGAGGGATCAGGACCGACAGCCGTACAGAGACGGCAACAATCGGAGGGGAGTGCCACGGTCAGTGGATTCCAGCGAAAGGAACCATCCTACGTCGGCCGCAGTTGTAGACGCGCGACGTGAGCGGGATGAAGGGCGATCGGCGTACGATCGCCAGGAGTTGCCGCACCGAAACCTCAACATCGACTCTATTGGAAGCCACCTGCTGTTCAGGATTCTACCCGTGACGCTGTACGGCGAGAATACGAAGGTCGACACGTACGCACTGCTGGATGAAGGATCGTCTGTCGTGGATGATCGTGGATGAAGGACCGCAGCCTGAACCTGAAAGGCGAGAGTCGACAGCTGAATGTGCAATGGTTTGGTGGAAAAGCCGCCAAAGAGCACACGAAGGTGGTCAGCCTGCAGATCAGCGCAGCGGGCAAACCAAAGCGCCATGGGCTGAAAAATGTGTACGGAGTGGCCAATCTGAACCTTCCGATGCAGAGCCTGCGTCAGGAGGATGTACAAGCAGTGAAGGCGAACACGCGTCTGCCGGTGATGCCGTACAACAATGCGACGCCGAGGATCCTAATTGGACTGGATCATGCGCATTTAGGAGTACCCTTCAGAACCAAAAGTTATCCAGATCGGAGGGCCGTTTGCAGCAGACACCGCACTTGGATGGGTGATATATGGACCGGTGAACGGAAAGCCGAGCTCGCCGCTTCTGAGTTCGTGCCTCCTAGCCGTGCCCCAGGATGATCTTCTGGAGAAGATGGTCAGCGACTACTTCGAGACCGAGAATTTCGGAGCAAAGCCGGTGCAGCCAGTCGCAGCTGGCAGAGTGGACCTGGAGCCGTCAGTCGGAGATAGCGGCGACGCACGGGCCCTGAGCACCCTGGAGAAGACGAACAAACGTGTAGGCCAGAGATACGAGACCGGGCTGCTATGGAAGGACGACGAAGTGAGATTGCCGGAGAGCTACAGCATGGCCTTCAGGAGGCTCGTAAACATAGAACGTAAAATGAAGCGCGATGTGGACGATGTCGCGTCGGCTTACATCCGGATAATGGACGATTATGTCAAGAAGGGATACGCACGACGACTGGAGGCCCAGGAAGTCCAGAGGTTTCAGGAGGGCAATATGTGGTAGCTGCCGCACTTCGGAGTGGAAAACTCGAACAAGCCTGGGAAAATCCGGCTGGTTTTCGATGCGGCTGCCAAGGTGGACGGTGTGTCTTTGAATTCAGCGCTACTGAAAGGCCCACAGCGCTACAGGCCCCTCCCAGCAGTGCTCTTCCATTTTCGGGAAGGAGCGGTTGGAGTTTGTGCAGACATCAAGGAGATGTTTCATCAGGTACTGATGCAGCCGAAGGACAGATGCGCCCAGAGGTTTCTGTGGAGGGACGGAGACGACCAGCGAGAGCCGGACGTATACGAGATGGCAGTGATGATGTTCGGAGCGGCCTGCTCACCATGTTCGGCGGACTACGTGAAGACCGTGAATGCCTTGCGGTATAGCAGCACGGACCCGCGAGCAGCCCTGGCCATCAACGAATACCACTACGTGGATGACTGCGTCGACAGTTTCGCCAGTGAGGACGAAGCTATCGTCATCTCGACACGGGTGAGGGAAATTCACGCTGAAGCAGGTTTTGATTTGTGCCGATTTACCTCCAGTTCGGCAAGTGTGGTCAGAGCGCTGAGCCCACTTGAGTCCTTCACCAGCGTCGGATGGACCGAAGCTGAGGAGAAGGTGCTTGGGATGTACTGGTAGCCGGCTACCGATGATTTCAAGTTCGGCGTCAAGTACCATCGAGTCCCGAGGAACGTGATGACGGAGCAACGAGTCCCTACCAAGAGGGAGTTCCTAAGCCTGGTGATGTCTACGTTTGACCCGAATGGGTTCCTGAGCTGCTACATGGTGACTGCCAAACTGCTGCTGAGGGAGATTTGGCGGAGAGGAGTCAACTGGGATGAATTGGCCGCTGGGATGAATTGGCCGCTACCGGATGAATTGGCCGCAGCCTTCGAGGATTGGCGGCAAGGGATGAGTCTGATCCAGGAGTTCCGATGCCCGCGCCACTACTTTGGCGGCGGACGAGTGCGGACGCTACAGCTGCACATCTTCGTGGACTCCAGTCAATCGGCGTTCGCAGCAGCGGCCTACTGGCGGGCCACGTACGAGAACGGAGACGTGCAGGCGCACTTCATAAGCTCCAAAACGAAATGCGCCCCGATGAGGACCATGTCGATCCCGCGACTTGAACTCCAAGCAGCGGTATTGGGCACGAGATTGATGGACACCGTCAAGCAGGAGCACGGTGTGGCGATCAGCAGCTCTGCGCTATGGACGGACTCTAAGACTGTGTTGCACTGGACAAGCAACCCCCACCGGAGATACAAACAGTTCGTCGGAAACCGGGTGGCGGAGACTTTGGAATCGACAGAGGCGTCCCAGTGGATATGGATCCCGTCCGCCGAAAACGTGGCGGATGACGCGACAAGGCCGCGCAAGGCCGTGGACCTGAGCATCGGTTCGCGATGGCTAAGCGGACCGCCGTTTCTACGAGGACCAGAGGAGAGCTGGCCGAGATCGAGCGAGGACTGGATTCCTCCGACGACCGACGACGAGGAAATGAAATGTGAGTTTGCCTTGGTCACGGTAAACTTTATATCCCTGCAGAGGTTCTCCAGCTATAATCGACTGGTGAGGACGACTGCGTGGGCGCTCAGATTTGTTCGACGATGCCGTGGAATACGTCGCGATGAAGAGGTCTACGGATTGACCGCGATCGAGTGCGCTGAATCAGAACGCGCATTGATACGGCAGTCGCAGCGAGAAGCGTTTGCTGAGGACAGCCAAGGAAACGTCGCCAAGGACAGCCGACTGCACGGACTGTCCCCATACCTTGACGAGGACGGAGTATTGAGAGCCAGTGGAAGGATCGACGACGCGACGTGTGTGCCATACAACGCACGTCGGCCGATCATACTGTCTTACGAGGAGGCGCTGGCAGAGATGATCGTGCAGCAACACCACGAAAAGATGTGCCACCAAAACACGGAGGCGACGATCGGATCGATTCGGAGCAAGTTCTGGATAACGAACTTGCGGAGACTGCTACGGAGGGTGGTGAGCAAATGCAACGTTTGCAAGCTGCGGAAGGCACGACCCACACAGCCCGAGATGGGCCCCCTGCCTGCGGATCGGCTAGAGGCCAACGGATGGCCATTTAAGTCTACTGGCCTGGACTACTTTGGGCCGCTCCTTGTGACAATTGGACGTCACACAGAGAAGAGCTGGGTGGCACTGTTTACGTGCCTGACCACGAGAGCTATCCACTTGGAGATGGCTCACGATTTGTCCACCGACTCCTGCATAATCGCCATGAGGAACTTCATGAGCCGCCGTGGACCAGTGGTCAGGATAAGGAGCGACAATGGGAAGAACTTCGTTGGAGCCGACCGCGAGGCCAAGAGGTTCAGCGAAGTGTTCGAGCCTGCACAGATCCAGGGCAAGCTGTCGTCTAAGGGAGTCGAATGGATCTTCAACTGCCCGGCGAACCCAGCTGAAGGTGGTGCCTGGGAGAGGATGGTGCAGTGCGTGAAGAAGGTGCTGGCGCACACAATGAAGGAGCTCGCGCCCAAGGAGCATGTACTGGAGAACCTGCTGATTGAGGCGGAGAGCATCGTAAACTCTCGTCCGCTCACTCATCTACCGGTGACGGTGGACCAGGAGGCTCCACTGACGCCTAACGATTTGCTGAAAGGAGCATCGGATATCCCAGGTCTCCCCAAGGATGATGGACAGGAGCCCGTGAGATCCGCTACTAGGGAAGCAGTGGCGCATAGCAAGGATGATGCGCGATCGCTTCTGGAAGCGTTGGGTGCATGAGTACCTGCCAACTCTTGTGCGCAGGGAGAAATGGTGCAAGCGCGTCGAGCCCATCCGACGAGGAGACCTGGTATTCATCTGCGATCCAGCCATACCACGAAGGGAATGGAAACGAGGCGTCGTGGAAGAGGTGTTCACCGGGAAGGATGGAGTACCTCGTCGAGCAGCGGTGCGGACTACCGATCGAGCCCAGACGACTATGCGTCCCGCTTCGAAGCTAACTGTCCTGGACGTGGTGAATGCGGCTGCTTCACGGGGGTGGGGATGTCGCGGAACAAACTAGTGGCTATCGATAGTTGAGATTAGTGTTAGGTGTCAAATGTCAGTATTTTTTATGTTTAGGGTTTTAAGTTTATGTTATCTGTTCACACTAAAACGTAGTTTGGAAGAAATAATTTGGCGGATAAAACACATCGATTTGCGCCATCACAGAAAGGGGAAGAGAAACTGCGGTATGTAGGATAAGTAATTATGTATCAGGTTAAGAACAATTGTCTTTTAGAATAAAACGCTCGTTACACACCACATCACTTCGTGATGAAGCGACGGCTGTGCTTCTCGTGCCTGGAGCCCGGACACATGTCCCGGTTCTGCAGGAAGAGCCGCGGATGCAACGTCCTCGGATGCCAGATGAGGCATCACCACCTGCTCCACGAAGTACCTGAACGATCCAAACGGCCGCCAGTCGCAGATGGGGGCCACAGGAGGGATCAGGACCGACAGCCGTACAGAGACGGCAACAATCGGAGGGGAGTGCCCCGGTCAGTGGATTCCAGCGAAAGGAACCATCCTACGTCGGCCGCAGTTGTAGACGCGCGACGTGAGCGGGATGAAGGGCGATCGGCGTACGATCGCCAGGAGTTGCCGCACCGAAACCTCAACATCGACTCTATTGGAAGCCACCTGCTGTTCAGGATTCTACCCGTGACGCTGTACGGCGAGAATACGAAGGTCGACACGTACGCACTGCTGGATGAAGGATCGTCTGTCGTGGATGATCGTGGATGCCTGAACCTGAAAGGCGAGAGTCGACAGCTGAATGTGCAATGGTTTGGTGGAAAAGCCGCCAAAGAGCACACGAAGGTGGTCAGCCTGCAGATCAGCGCAGCGGGCAAACCAAAGCGCCATGGGCTGAAAAATGTGTACGGAGTGGCCAATCTGAACCTTCCGATGCAGAGCCTGCGTCAGGAGGATGTACAAGCAGTGAAGGCGAACACGCGTCTGCCGGTGATGCCGTACAACAATGCGACGCCGAGGATCCTAATTGGACTGGATCATGCGCATTTAGGAGTACCCTTCAGAACCAAAAGTTATCCAGATCGGAGGGCCGTTTGCAGCAGACACCGCACTTGGATGGGTGATATATGGACCGGTGAACGGAAAGCCGAGCTCGCCGCTTCTGAGTTCGTGCCTCCTAGCCGTGCCCCAGGATGATCTTCTGGAGAAGATGGTCAGCGACTACTTCGAGACCGAGAATTTCGGAGCAAAGCCGATGCAGCCAGTCGTAGCTGGCAGAGTGGACCTGGAGCCGTCAGTCGGAGATAGCGGCGACGCACGGGCCCTGAGCACCCTGGAGAAGACGAACAAACGTGTAGGCCAGAGATACGAGACCGGGCTGCTATGGAAGGACGACGAAGTGAGATTGCCGGAGAGCTACAGCATGGCCTTCAGGAGGCTCGTAAACATAGAACGTAAAATGAAGCGCGATGTGGACGATGTCGCGTCGGCTTACATCCGGATAATGGACGATTATGTCAAAAAGGGATACGCACGACGACTGGAGGCCCAGGAAGTCCAGAGGTTTCAGGAGGGCAAAGTGTGGTAGCTGCCGCACTTCGGAGTGGAAAACTCGAACAAGCCTGGGAAAATCCGGCTGGTTTTCGATGCGGCTGCCAAGGTGGACGGTGTGTCTTTGAATTCAGCGCTACTGAAAGGCCCACAGCGCTACAGGCCCCTCCCAGCAGTGCTCTTCCATTTTCGGGAAGGAGCGGTTGGAGTTTGTGCAGACATCAAGGAGATGTTTCATCAGGTACTGATGCAGCCGAAGGACAGATGCGCCCAGAGGTTTCTGTGGAGGGACGGAGACGACCAGCGAGAGCCGGACGTATACGAGATGGCAGTGATGATGTTCGGAGCGGCCTGCTCACCATGTTCGGCGGACTACGTGAAGACCGTGAATGCCTTGCGGTATAGCAGCACGGACCCGCGAGCAGCCCTGGCCATCAACGAATACCACTACGTGGATGACTGCGTCGACAGTTTCGCCAGTGAGGACGAAGCTATCGTCATCTCGACACGGGTGAGGGAAATTCACGCTGAAGCAGGTTTTGATTTGTGCCGATATACCTCCAGTTCGGCAAGTGTGGTCAGAGCGCTGAGCCCACTTGAGTCCTTCACCAGCGTCGGATGGACCGAAGCTGAGGAGAAGGTGCTTGGGATGTACTGGTAGCCGGCTACCGATGATTTCAAGTTCGGCGTCAAGTACCATCGAGTCCCGAGGAACGTGATGACGGAGCAACGAGTCCCTACCAAGAGGGAGTTCCTAAGCCTGGTGATGTCTACGTTTGACCCGAATGGGTTCCTGAGCTGCTACATGGTGACTGCCAAACTGCTGCTGAGGGAGATTTGGCGGAGAGGAGTCAACTGGGATGAGCCGCTACCGGATGAATTGGCCGCAGCCTTCGAGGATTGGCGGCAAGGGATGAGTCTGATCCAGGAGTTCCGATGCCCGCGCCACTACTTTGGCGGCGGACGAGTGCGGACGCTACAGCTGCACATCTTCGTGGACTCCAGTCAATCGGCGTTCGCAGCAGCGGCCTACTGGCGGGCCACGTACGAGAACGGAGACGTGCAGGCGCACTTCATAAGCTCCAAAACGAAATGCGCCCCGATGAGGACCATGTCGATCCCGCGACTTGAACTCCAAGCAGCGGTATTGGGCACGAGATTGATGGACACCGTCAAGCAGGAGCACGGTGTGGCGATCAGCAGCTCTGCGCTATGGACGGACTCTAAGACTGTGTTGCACTGGACAAGCAACACCCACCGGAGATACAAACAGTTCGTCGGAAACCGGGTGGCGGAGATTTTGGAATCGACAGAGGCGTCCCAGTGGATATGGATCCCGTCCGCCGAAAACGTGGCGGATGACGCGACAAGGCCGCGCAAGGCCGTGGACCTGAGCATCGGTTCGCGATGGCTAAGCGGACCGCCGTTTCTACGAGGACCAGAGGAGAGCTGGCCGAGATCGAGCGAGGACTGGATTCCTCCGACGACCGACGACGAGGAAATGAAATGTGAGTTTGCCTTGGTCACGGTAAACTTTATATCCCTGCAGAGGTTCTCCAGCTATAATCGACTGGTGAGGACGACTGCGTGGGCGCTCAGATTTGTTCGACGATGCCGTGGAATACGTCGCGATGAAGAGGTCTACGGATTGACCGCGATCGAGTGCGCTGAATCAGAACGCGCATTGATACGGCAGTCGCAGCGAGAAGCGTTTGCTGAGGACAGCCAAGGAAACGTCGCCAAGGACAGCCGACTGCACGGACTGTCCCCATACCTTGACGAGGACGGAGTATTGAGAGCCAGTGGAAGGATCGACGACGCGACGTGTGTGCCATACAACGCACGTCGGCCGATCATACTGTCTTACGAGGAGGCGCTGGCAGAGATGATCGTGCAGCAACACCACGAAAAGATGTGCCACCAAAACACGGAGGCGACGATCGGATCGATTCGGAGCAAGTTCTGGATAACGAACTTGCGGAGACTGCTACGGAGGGTGGTGAGCAAATGCAACGTTTGCAAGCTGCGGAAGGCACGACCCACACAGCCCGAGATGGGCCCCCTGCCTGCGGATCGGCTAGAGGCCAACGGATGGCCATTTAAGTCTACTGGCCTGGACTACTTTGGGCCGCTCCTTGTGACAATTGGACGTCACACAGAGAAGAGCTGGGTGGCACTGTTTACGTGCCTGACCACGAGAGCTATCCACTTGGAGATGGCTCACGATTTGTCCACCGACTCCTGCATAATCGCCATGAGGAACTTCATGAGCCGCCGTGGACCAGTGGTCAGGATAAGGAGCGACAATGGGAAGAACTTCGTTGGAGCCGACCGCGAGGCCAAGAGGTTCAGCGAAGTGTTCGAGCCTGCACAGATCCAGGGCAAGCTGTCGTCTAAGGGAGTCGAATGGATCTTCAACTGCCCGGCGAACCCAGCTGAAGGTGGTGCCTGGGAGAGGATGGTGCAGTGCGTGAAGAAGGTGCTGGCGCACACAATGAAGGAGCTCGCGCCCAAGGAGCATGTACTGGAGAACCTGCTGATTGAGGCGGAGAGCATCGTAAACTCTCGTCCGCTCACTCATCTACCGGTGACGGTGGACCAGGAGGCTCCACTGACGCCTAACGATTTGCTGAAAGGAGCATCGGATATCCCAGGTCTCCCCAAGGATGATGGACAGGAGCCCGTGAGATCCGCTACTAGGAAGCAGTGGCGCATAGCAAGGATGATGCGCGATCGCTTCTGGAAGCGTTGGGTGCATGAGTACCTGCCAACTCTTGTGCGCAGGGAGAAATGGTGCAAGCGCGTCGAGCCCATCCGACGAGGAGACCTGGTATTCATCTGCGATCCAGCCATACCACGAAGGGAATGGAAACGAGGCGTCGTGGAAGAGGTGTTCACCGGGAAGGATGGAGTACCTCGTCGAGCAGCGGTGCGGACTACCGATCGAGCCCAGACGACTATGCGTCCCGCTTCGAAGCTAACTGTCCTGGACGTGGTGAATGCGGCTGCTTCACGGGGGTGGGGATGTCGCGGAACAAACTAGTGGCTATCGATAGTTGAGATTAGTGTTAGGTGTCAAATGTCAGTATTTTTTTATGTTTAGGGTTTTAAGTTTATGTTATCTGTTCACACTAAAACGTAGTTTGGAAGAAATAATTTGGCGGATAAAACACATCGATTTGCGCCATCACAGAAAGGGGAAGAGAAACTGCGGTATGTAGGATAAGTAATTATGTATCAGGTTAAGAACAATTGTCTTTTAGAATAAAACGCTCGTTACACACCACATCACTTCGTGATGAAGCGACGGCTGTGCTTCTCGTGCCTGGAGCCCGGACACATGTCCCGGTTCTGCAGGAAGAGCCGCGGATGCAACGTCCTCGGATGCCAGATGAGGCATCACCACCTGCTCCACGAAGTACCTGAACGATCCAAACGGCCGCCAGTCGCAGATGGGGGCCACAGGAGGGATCAGGACCGACAGCCGTACAGAGACGGCAACAATCGGAGGGGAGTGCCACGGTCAGTGGATTCCAGCGAAAGGAACCATCCTACGTCGGCCGCAGTTGTAGACGCGCGACGTGAGCGGGATGAAGGGCGATCGGCGTACGATCGCCAGGAGTTGCCGCACCGAAACCTCAACATCGACTCTATTGGAAGCCACCTGCTGTTCAGGATTCTACCCGTGACGCTGTACGGCGAGAATACGAAGGTCGACACGTACGCACTGCTGGATGAAGGATCGTCTGTCGTGGATGATCGTGGATGCCTGAACCTGAAAGGCGAGAGTCGACAGCTGAATGTGCAATGGTTTGGTGGAAAAGCCGCCAAAGAGCACACGAAGGTGGTCAGCCTGCAGATCAGCGCAGCGGGCAAACCAAAGCGCCATGGGCTGAAAAATGTGTACGGAGTGGCCAATCTGAACCTTCCGATGCAGAGCCTGCGTCAGGAGGATGTACAAGCAGTGAAGGCGAACACGCGTCTGCCGGTGATGCCGTACAACAATGCGACGCCGAGGATCCTAATTGGACTGGATCATGTGCATTTAGGAGTACCCTTCAGAACCAAAAGTTATCCAGATCGGAGGGCCGTTTGCAGCAGACACCGCACTTGGATGGGTGATATATGGACCGGTGAACGGAAAGCCGAGCTCGCCGCTTCTGAGTTCGTGCCTCCTAGCCGTGCCCCAGGATGATCTTCTGGAGAAGATGGTCAGCGACTACTTCGAGACCGAGAATTTCGGAGCAAAGCCGGTGCAGCCAGTCGTAGCTGGCAGAGTGGACCTGGAGCCGTCAGTCGGAGATAGCGGCGACGCACGGGCCCTGAGCACCCTGGAGAAGACGAACAAACGTGTAGGCCAGAGATACGAGACCGGGCTGCTATGGAAGGACGACGAAGTGAGATTGCCGGAGAGCTACAGCATGGCCTTCAGGAGGCTCGTAAACATAGAACGTAAAATGAAGCGCGATGTGGACGATGTCGCGTCGGCTTACATCCGGATAATGGACGATTATGTCAAAAAGGGATACGCACGACGACTGGAGGCCCAGGAAGTCCAGAGGTTTCAGGAGGGCAAAGTGTGGTAGCTGCCGCACTTCGGAGTGGAAAACTCGAACAAGCCTGGGAAAATCCGGCTGGTTTTCGATGCGGCTGCCAAGGTGGACGGTGTGTCTTTGAATTCAGCGCTACTGAAAGGCCCACAGCGCTACAGGCCCCTCCCAGCAGTGCTCTTCCATTTTCGGGAAGGAGCGGTTGGAGTTTGTGCAGACATCAAGGAGATGTTTCATCAGGTACTGATGCAGCCGAAGGACAGATGCGCCCAGAGGTTTCTGTGGAGGGACGGAGACGACCAGCGAGAGCCGGACGTATACGAGATGGCAGTGATGATGTTCGGAGCGGCCTGCTCACCATGTTCGGCGGACTACGTGAAGACCGTGAATGCCTTGCGGTATAGCAGCACGGACCCGCGAGCAGCCCTGGCCATCAACGAATACCACTACGTGGATGACTGCGTCGACAGTTTCGCCAGTGAGGACGAAGCTATCGTCATCTCGACACGGGTGAGGGAAATTCACGCTGAAGCAGGTTTTGATTTGTGCCGATATACCTCCAGTTCGGCAAGTGTGGTCAGAGCGCTGAGCCCACTTGAGTCCTTCACCAGCGTCGGATGGACCGAAGCTGAGGAGAAGGTGCTTGGGATGTACTGGTAGCCGGCTACCGATGATTTCAAGTTCGGCGTCAAGTACCATCGAGTCCCGAGGAACGTGATGACGGAGCAACGAGTCCCTACCAAGAGGGAGTTCCTAAGCCTGGTGATGTCTACGTTTGACCCGAATGGGTTCCTGAGCTGCTACATGGTGACTGCCAAACTGCTGCTGAGGGAGATTTGGCGGAGAGGAGTCAACTGGGATGAGCCGCTACCGGATGAATTGGCCGCAGCCTTCGAGGATTGGCGGCAAGGGATGAGTCTGATCCAGGAGTTCCGATGCCCGCGCCACTACTTTGGCGGCGGACGAGTGCGGACGCTACAGCTGCACATCTTCGTGGACTCCAGTCAATCGGCGTTCGCAGCAGCGGCCTACTGGCGGGCCACGTACGAGAACGGAGACGTGCAGGCGCACTTCATAAGCTCCAAAACGAAATGCGCCCCGATGAGGACCATGTCGATCCCGCGACTTGAACTCCAAGCAGCGGTATTGGGCACGAGATTGATGGACACCGTCAAGCAGGAGCACGGTGTGGCGATCAGCAGCTCTGCGCTATGGACGGACTCTAAGACTGTGTTGCACTGGACAAGCAACACCCACCGGAGATACAAACAGTTCGTCGGAAACCGGGTGGCGGAGATTTTGGAATCGACAGAGGCGTCCCAGTGGATATGGATCCCGTCCGCCGAAAACGTGGCGGATGACGCGACAAGGCCGCGCAAGGCCGTGGACCTGAGCATCGGTTCGCGATGGCTAAGCGGACCGCCGTTTCTACGAGGACCAGAGGAGAGCTGGCCGAGATCGAGCGAGGACTGGATTCCTCCGACGACCGACGACGAGGAAATGAAATGTGAGTTTGCCTTGGTCACGGTAAACTTTATATCCCTGCAGAGGTTCTCCAGCTATAATCGACTGGTGAGGACGACTGCGTGGGCGCTCAGATTTGTTCGACGATGCCGTGGAATACGTCGCGATGAAGAGGTCTACGGATTGACCGCGATCGAGTGCGCTGAATCAGAACGCGCATTGATACGGCAGTCGCAGCGAGAAGCGTTTGCTGAGGACAGCCAAGGAAACGTCGCCAAGGACAGCCGACTGCACGGACTGTCCCCATACCTTGACGAGGACGGAGTATTGAGAGCCAGTGGAAGGATCGACGACGCGACGTGTGTGCCATACAACGCACGTCGGCCGATCATACTGTCTTACGAGGAGGCGCTGGCAGAGATGATCGTGCAGCAACACCAAGAAAAGATGTGCCACCGAAACACGGAGGCGACGATCGGATCGATTCGGAGCAAGTTCTGGATAACGAACTTGCGGAGACTGCTACGGAGGGTGGTGAGCAAATGCAACGTTTGCAAGCTGCGGAAGGCACGACCCACACAGCCCGAGATGGGCCCCCTGCCTGCGGATCGGCTAGAGGCCAACGGATGGCCATTTAAGTCTACTGGCCTGGACTACTTTGGGCCGCTCCTTGTGACAATTGGACGTCACACAGAGAAGAGCTGGGTGGCACTGTTTACGTGCCTGACCACGAGAGCTATCCACTTGGAGATGGCTCACGATTTGTCCACCGACTCCTGCATAATCGCCATGAGGAACTTCATGAGCCGCCGTGGACCAGTGGTCAGGATAAGGAGCGACAATGGGAAGAACTTCGTTGGAGCCGACCGCGAGGCCAAGAGGTTCAGCGAAGTGTTCGAGCCTGCACAGATCCAGGGCGAGCTGTCGTCTAAGGGAGTCGAATGGATCTTCAACTGCCCGGCGAACCCAGCTGAAGGTGGTGCCTGGGAGAGGATGGTGCAGTGCGTGAAGAAGGTGCTGGCGCACACAATGAAGGAGCTCGCGCCCAAGGAGCATGTACTGGAGAACCTGCTGATTGAGGCGGAGAGCATCGTAAACTCTCGTCCGCTCACTCATCTACCGGTGACGGTGGACCAGGAGGCTCCACTGACGCCTAACGATTTGCTGAAAGGAGCATCGGATATCCCAGGTCTCCCCAAGGATGATGGACAGGAGCCCGTGAGATCCGCTACTAGGAAGCAGTGGCGCATAGCAAGGATGATGCGCGATCGCTTCTGGAAGCGTTGGGTGCATGAGTACCTGCCAACTCTTGTGCGCAGGGAGAAATGGTGCAAGCGCGTCGAGCCCATCCGACGAGGAGACCTGGTATTCATCTGCGATCCAGCCATACCACGAAGGGAATGGAAACGAGGCGTCGTGGAAGAGGTGTTCACCGGGAAGGATGGAGTACCTCGTCGAGCAGCGGTGCGGACTACCGATCGAGCCCAGACGACTATGCGTCCCGCTTCGAAGCTAACTGTCCTGGACGTGGTGAATGCGGCTGCTTCACGGGGGTGGGGATGTCGCGGAACAAACTAGTGGCTATCGATAGTTGAGATTAGTGTTAGGTGTCAAATGTCAGTATTTTTTATGTTTAGGGTTTTAAGTTTATGTTATCTGTTCACACTAAAACGTAGTTTGGAAGAAATAATTTGGCGGATAAAACACATCGATTTGCGCCATCACAGAAAGGGGAAGAGAAACTGCGGTATGTAGGATAAGTAATTATGTATCAGGTTAAGAACAATTGTCTTTTAGAATAAAACGCTCGTTACACACCACATCACTTCAACAACTGTCCTGAGTGTTATAAGGCATTCCCGTGATCGGCCAAGCGGTGACAATCATAGTCTTCCCTATGATTAGCGGCAGATCGTGCATTCCGCTTGACAAATCTGTACCAAGCTGCGAAATCTGCTAAACAAATTCCTTCCAACTGCTCATGCCTTTGCACATATCGGTCAAGAATATTACGCTCAAAAATATCCACCGAGTTGTTTGGTAGAATTCTAATTCCTCATTTGAGCGAGCCAATCTAACTCGTTTGTCTGGATGGCAAGTGTTTATAAAAATAGTACCTTTACTTGCCTCTGACATATGCAGACCCAAAATATTGTAAGCTGCTTCTTGGGCTGATATTTCTGTAGCGTTAATAAACTTATTGCCGAGGTGCTGTAATTTCCTTTTAATAGACATATTCCCATGGCTTATTTCTGCCATGGCTTCACGGAGCAACTGCGATACGCCTCTGTTTGATTTGTTTATGTAGTTAATAATATAACTACAACAGGCGTAAGCATCTTGGATAAATTGAATATCCATATTAGCTCTGTGTAAGGATAGAATATCTCTATGATAAGCATTAAGCAGTCGGTCGGAAAATTGTCTGCGAAGAAAAATGTGTGGCTTTTTCAAGCTGGAACGTAATATGGCATATTAAATCAGCAGAACTCCTGTCCGCGAAACTCTCTCAGGCAGGAAGCACTATGCTTGTGGCGTTGATACTGAATAACTTCTTGTAGCTCAGGATCGTCTTCATTTGTAGTAATAAACCTTTCGATAAAGTTTATTACTTGCTCGGTATTTTCGGGGTCTTCTAGCTTAGGAGCACCAGCAAGCCAGTACTTGCCATGAGAGTGCGAAGATCCTCTGTGCTGGAATTCGATTCTCCAATAAAAATGGGAAAGATTGAGTTCCCCAAAAATATCAGTTTTGAACAATTTCATTAATTGTCGCAACCTGTAATCGAAGTATCGAGAGCACGTCACTGGATCGGATCGGATTAACAGAGCCTTTTCGAAGCTGGAAAGAGCTGCCGCTTCTTCCTCGCTTATAGCACTATTGTCCAATAGAAGGGAAATTATGACTAAAAGTTCATTCGACTTAGTTTCAGCAGCGGAAAGAGTTATGAAAAACGTTGGCAAACCAAATTGTCGAATCATAGCAATAACTTTTTTTTTTTCAGCCTCCAAATGAGCTGGTGCAGACCGTAACTCTTTAAGAATGTGGTAGCCATCATCATGTTGCACAAGTCTGTCAACAAAGGACTCATCCCGCACATTACCAGCGGTAACTGCACCTGACTTTTTGTGTAAAGCAATTGAAATAGAATATTGAATGCGCTGCATTTCGTAAAATTTATACACGTATAAAACTTTAGGAACTACAGCGCAACGACGGTCGTAAAAACGGATTTGGGATCTGGCTTTTTTCGCATAGGTTGTATTTCCTTTAAATATTTCCCCGCAAGAAATAGTTGGAAAGGAAAGTTCCTCTGCGTCTTCGTCAAGCGTTAAGCTTGTTGGGCGACGGCCCTCACCCGGTGCCAATGCAATGCGCTGAATAGCATTATCATTACTTTTCAATAATGTTTCATTTAAATTTTCTTCAAGCTCTGCAGCATTTTGGGATAGGTGTTGCTGCTGAAGAAGTTGCTCTAATGCTTCGCGATCAGATTCGTCCGCAATAAAGGAATTCCATTAATTCCTTGGAGTCCTGCTAGCCATGATCCGTTCAGTGAAATGTTGTGCTTTCTGTAGAGCTCGGTATTCACTAAGTACCGTACAGCTTCAAGGAACCAAGCGGGTCGAATAGTTTCAGTCATGAAATTGTGTGCGTACTCTAGTCACCTTTTTAAGTGGACTTGGATGACATGGGTAGAGTCAAAAGAGTGCGGAAGCGCAGTCACAATAGGAACTGAAATTGGAACATTCACCACTGCCTCTCTGATCCCGCATTGTCTTTCATACCCGAGGGAAATAATCCTGATAAAAGGAATTCTCGGTGAAATAAGGCGTTCTTCGAGGCAGGGGAGTCTATTTAAGCACTCAGGAATTTCTGGGAAGTGGGTTAGAAAGGCAGAGTGATGGGATTTTGCCAAGAGAGATGGCACGACGTCGTGTTGTCGTGTTTCCCGGCGTTGTGATGTGTTTATCCGTTGCTCCTGTGTTCTTGCGATGGAGTTTCTCCTGGTTCCTCTCCTGTAATCGGCGTCCCTTTCCCGTTCTGCCTTCCGCATCCCTTCGTCGCTGTCAGTGCTCTCCAGTGTTCCTTTCCTGCTCCCTTGCACGTTCTTCTGGGTCCTCGCGATGAGTAGCTCGCGTCGGCGTCCCGAATCCGCTCTTGAATTCGAAATTGGTCCTCCGAGAGGCATGGTCAGCAGTATTTTGCACCTGCTCTTGTCGCCGCTCCTCGGAGTCCTCTCGACGAATAGCACGCGCTGCGGCGTCCCGAACCCGTTCCGGATTTCGGTACTCCGGAATAGTCCTCCGTGTTGCATGATCAGCAGTATTTTGCACCTGCTCTTGTCGCCGCTCCTCGGAGTCCTCTCGACGAATAGCACGCGCTGCGGCGTCCCGAACCCGTTCCGGATTTCGGTACTCCGGAATAGTCCTCCGTGTCGCATGATCAGCAGTATTTTACACCTGCTCTTGTCGCCGCTCCTCGGAGTCCCCTCGACGAATAGCACGCGCTGAGGCGTCCCGAACCCGTTCCGGATTTCGGTACTCCGGAATAGTCCTCCGAGAGGCATGGTCAGCAGTATTTTGCACCTGCTCTTGTCGCCGCTGCTCGGAGTCCTCTCGACGAATAGCACGCGCTGCGGCGTCCCGAACCCGTTCCGGATTTCGGTACTCCGGAATAGTCCTCCGTGTCGTATGATCAGCAGTATTTTGCACCTTCTCTTGTCGCCGCTGCTCGGAGTCCTCTCCTCTCCTCACCTTACCGCTACTTGACACAGCAGTAGCGCAACTTGACGAGCCCGCACACATAACTAAAGCTGCAGCTCAGCCCCCGCGGCCCCTTTACCAGCCCAATCGCCTCTATCGGCACATAATTCATACATAAATATTTTTGATTTCGGGCAACTTTATAGCCGCAGCTCCACATGAGCAATCCGTTTCAACAATATAGAAACATAAGACAACTCTCTAGTGATTCTGAGTCGGAGACCGAAGGGCCGGCCAGATTTTCCACCCCTAAAAGCGCTAACGCCATTCTACAATACTATGACGAGGTCGAGAAAAAACTCACCTTTCTTACAAACAAGGCCACTATGTCGTACGAAGCCTCGGCGGCAAAGGTCTTATGTGACAAATGATGATGAGAGGCACTTCGAGTATTTAACTCGGGGCTTAAGCGCAGCCTCACGGATGCCCTCTTTTCGGCAAAGCCGAAAGATATGCCTTCAGCTCTCGCTTTGGCACAAGAAGTGGAATCTAACCATGAAAGATACTCCTTCGCGGCTTCATTTGTCAAAAGCCGAGAGGATAAAGATAAAAAATAGCAACCAAAAGCGCAAGAATAGCGACAGGCTTCTGCGCAGGCAAATGCACAAACAAACGCTGGAAAAAATCCGTCCTACGTCAAACAACACAAGGCGCAAGTACACTCTGCCCCACACAGTGGAGGCGCTCCTGAACCCATGGACATCGACCCATCGCTGTCCAAGATGCTTAGGCCATCCCAGGCCCCGGAGTACCAAAACAGGAAGCCGGCTGAGTCCGATCGATCTGCCCCACACAAAAGGCAGAGGGTTAATCACGTCGCGCAGGGCGCGAGCGAAACCGGGAACAAATATACCGCCGCAGCTTCAAGCGCGGCTCAGGAAATTGACGACGACGCTATTAAAGATTACGATTCGGACGTCATACATTTTTTAGGGGAAAGTCCCTGCTACCCGTCATCAGACGAAGAGTAGCAGGTGTAGAAATAAAGCTTTTAATAGACACGGGCGCGTCAAAAAATTTCATCCGTCCATACGAAGGGTTGAAAGGCGTCCGCCCAGTAGGTTCGCCATTCCGGTACATTTCATCCATGGCGTTACCACAATAACAAAAAAATGCTTCGTATCCATGTTTAACCTGAAGGCTACGTTCTTCATCCTACCAGATTTGTCCTCCTTTGATGCCATCATCGGCTTGACCTGCTAAAACAAGCAGGGGCATCACTTAACCTAGCTTCCGGTCACCTCAGATGGGGCTCCGAGACGGAAAAGCTAGAGTTCCAATCATGTCCCAATGTAAATTTCACTGAGGTGGACTGCTCCAGCGCACCACCTTTGGTCAGAAGAGCATTTTTAAAAATGCTAAGCGACCAGAAAAACGCCTTATTCATCCTACCAGATTTATCCTCCTTTAATGCCATCATCGGCTTGACCTGCTAAAACAAGCAGGGGCATCACTTAACCTAGCTTCCGGTCACCTCAGATGGGGCTCCGAGACGGAAAAGCTAGAGTTCCAATAAATTTCACTGAGGTGGACTGCTCCAGCGCACCACCTTTGGTCAGAAGAGCATTTTTAAAAATGCTAAGCGACAAGAAAAACGCCGTTACCTTACAACACGTCTGTGGTAGCCACCATCAGGACAGTTGATGAGGAGCCCATTTATGCCAGACTCTGTCTGTATCCGATGGGAGGGGCAGATCCAAGATCCAAGACCTACTTAAAAACGGCATAATCCAGGGGCTTAAAAACGGGGTTTGTAATCCAGAAGTCGAGATCCCCTACAATAACCCAATATGGGTAGTAGACAAAAAGGGCACCAACGAATCTGGAAACCGTAAAATGCGGCTAGTATTAGACTTTCGAAAATTAAATGAGAGGACAATACCGGATCGCTACCCTATGCCGATTATCCCTATGATACTAGGAAATTTAGGCAAAGCCAAATACTTTACAACGCTCGATTTTAAGTCTGGCTACCACCAAATTATTCTGGCAGAACATGACCGTGAGAAAACTTCCTTTTCCGTAAACGGGGGAAAATACGAGTTCCGCCGACTGCCATTCGGGTTAAGAAAGGCTGCCAGCATCTTCCAAAGAACCATCGACGACGTACTGCGAGA